TTGCCAGTAGGGCGTTCCTCGATTGTACAGTCTTGAAGAGACTCACGAGAATGCCAGGCCAAAGAACTACGCGGAGAGGGACGTACGCTGAAGAAAATGCATTTGCGCTTTGCCCTGGATGGCGATGGCCGCAATGGCTGCGTATGATCCAAGATCTAGGATGTGTGTCGGACTTGGGCTAAGTCCATAAGAAACACAGCATCAATGTTAGCCACCAATTTCGAGAAGAATTGAGAATTCACATCCATACACTATCCAAGATTCTAGGAGGTCTACAGTGCCAGACACAGCTATCCCACTCGCACTCCATTGCACAGCCTGCATAGTCCTTCCTGAGTGCATATTCCTAAGGTTTTTCATGAGAAGGTCAGGCCAAACAAAGTGAAACAAAGTGGAGAGGGGGATTTGCTGACCAAACTGCTTTCGAAATTCTCGAAGTCTACCTCACACGGCGATGACCCTTGAGGCAGCGCAGGACTCTATCCAAGCTGATGCCTAGCAAAGTAGAACCGTGCCGCATAAGTCCATACGTGCCGCAGTGGACCATGCTAATATCAAAGCATTTCGACTGCCCTCTCTAACCGTTTTGGGTCGAAAATTATTTCTGCCAAATATGCCCATACTTGTGCGCTGCTAGTGAGCTGGCCCGGTTGCGAGCCTTAGCTCCTGACCGGTGTCCGCACGCGACGGTAGAAAGGTAGGTGATTGGCACCCGGGTGAGAACCTTAGTTCCTCGCCTGGTGAGGGTCCGTACCCTGCCAATCTTGTACAAAGTGGGCATATAGCACCACGCTAGCCTTTTCACGTTTCACCATGTTTCACAAGGGCCACGCATGAAGGAGGCAACCGACTGATGAATGCCAACTCTATCCTTCCTGGATAGCATCTCGCACACTTCCTGCACTCCTGTAGGCTTTGCTGTTAAGGACCCTGCTGGTCGTGTGCGTGACCCCTCCCTCTGCTGAGGGAGGTTTCGTCAGGCCTTTTCAGGCACACTTGCAGCAATGCCCTGCTACGGCAAACGCCCACCACAGGCCACAGTTTCTTCTGCCATTGCAATTGTGTGAAATGATTGTGACCAGATGCTTACTGTTTTCCAAGGCCAGAAATGCATTGCACTCGTGCAAGTCCATGACATGCCGCAATCATTGGGAACCGTCAGGCACTGCCTTCTCACTCGCAGACTGCTGATTGACATCCTGCCCTATTAAAGCAGGAGTTGGAGTGCTTCTCGAGCACTCCGGTGGTGAGCGCCTGTGATCAGGTTTGTCCGAACTAAGCCTGAATGCACTAAATCACTCCACAAGCAAGAGCAGCAGATGATTCGAGAATTCGAGGCCCGGGTAGTTAGTTGCAGTGTTTCCCATGTTTCACCATGTCTCACCCTTTCGTACAGAGCGAAACTCTGCAGGTTTCTGCTTGGGGGTTTCTTGTTTTGGTGTTTTGGTTTGTTTTTTTTTGTGTTCTTGGTCCTCTCCCCCCTTTTTTAACTTGCAGAGTCTCCACCTTTAGAAAGATGACCTGTGCATTCTGCACACTACCCCACCAGGGCTTTGCTTCGGATCACCCAAAATAGCTCGGAAGAATGGTTTGACCTGGCAACCCCGATGGGAGTATTTTAATGTTGTTGTGTATCCTCATCGTGTTTAAGCAATCGATGATACGGCACATCAGGCATATATTGCCAAAATTTGAGGAAAACTTGACTTTGTTGGGAATAATGTGATCGAACGGTGTGGCAAAGTTGGTCGAACTGTGGCACGGTTCTTCTTGCCTTGGCTGCAACTTCATCAGCAAAAACATTACCCCAAATATTATGACAGTCGTCGTCTGAGGTAGCGTCAATGGGGCACCTGTGGGGTTTGATTTTAAGCACATGAAACCGTCCCGGGTCCCACCAAAGCAGAAGTCGTTGGATGAGGTCCCAATGTGCTTTTTATGAGGGTGCGTATCGATGGTGCCCTGTTCAAGGGCATATATAGCGTTGACAACATTCTGCGAATCTGTGCAAAACCCTATGCGAAATTCTGTGGCAATGGGCGCAACGGACTCCACCGCTACTACGAACGCACAGAGTTCAGCTCGGTTGACGGTTTGCAGGCCCGGGCAGTGGCCAGTGGCCAAAACACGGAAGGTCAGTGTTTGGCATGTAGCGTCAGAATATTCTTTGATGACAACTGACTACGCTGATCGCGAAGAATATGGGTCTTTAGGACCCATCCGTGTTGGAATGTGGTCTGTGTCCCCAGATGCATGGACTGGCGTGCAAGTTCCACATCTGGCGCATGTGTCGGAAGCGGAAAAATCACATATCAAGATGATGCTTCAAATAATCAACTGCCTCTGCATGTTGATCGCGAACTGTTTGAAATGTTGGACATGTGAGATATTGGTGTGAGTGAGTATCAATCATGTCACACCATTTGCATTTCGGGTCGTGTGTTGTGACCATTGTGCAAGACCGCCATTGGACTGCCAACCTGCGGTCATCGTAAGTGCAAGTATCCCTCTCTGTCGTTCAGAGAGTTTATCAACAAACCGTCGAGTGGTAAGGGAATCAAAGGGTTGGGCCACAACACCTTGTCGGTGCTGAATCTGGGCGTGGCAGAACCGGTCCCACGCCATGGCAAGCTGCTGTTTAATCTGCTTATTGGAATGGGTGCTGAGATTGACCCGCAAGCCTCCTGGTCCAAGAAGAGTGGCATTGACTGTCAATTCCCACCCTAATTTGTGCAGGTATGCTGCTAAGGTGGTTGCGGGACCCTTTACATTATCCAGTTCCAAAGTGTTCAAGGCCGAGGCACTCGTCAAAATTGGATTTTGAACACAGTTTTATCTATATAAACAGGCGCAGTTCACATGGACGTGTGCACTGCAAGCAACCCTGAAACCCAATCCAAGAACATGTTATTTGGGGTTAGCAGCGGTCAGGCTCTCAAGAAAACGTTGTCAAGAAAGATTGCCAGGTTTCCAAGCACCGACCAAAGCCATGTTTGCTCAGATCTATTTTTGAGGGCTGACATTGTTCCTTATCGACGATTGAGATTGTGATTTCTTTACATTTCGGCTGTCAGACCAGGTACCTTGAAGAGTAGATTCAGAACACCATAAAATTGAGACATGGAATATTTGTCAACCTAACTTGACCTGTTGAATTCTTGTGATTTTGGTTGCGCTCTGGGACGAAGAAGAACTAGCCACATCCTCAACTCGCACAGCCAACTCTGTGATTTCAAAGAGAAGAGAAGAGAAGAGAAGAGAAGAGAAGAGCAGAGCAGAGCAGAGCAGAGAAGAGAAGAGCAGAGCAGAGCAGAGCAGAGAAGAGAAGAGAAGAGCGATGGCCTCCAACTTACTTGCAATGGCCTCCAACCTAAGAGAGAGAGAGAGAGAGGGGCAAGAGTTGCAAAGATGCATTTTTTGCAAAGAGGTTTGCCTGTTTGCAGCCTGTGAAAGCAGCACATCAACAACTAAGAAGGGACTTTGCACCATGTTTTGTGAGGTATTCTCAACCGACAGAGGCCAACTGGGCTCGTGCTTTGCTCAGGTTTGCTTATTCTTTGCTCAGTCGTGGGACATGCGACAGATTCCAGACCTAAAGCTCTGAAACGCAAGCATTTGCTTGCGACAAGCTTTTTGTTTGACAGATTCCTTGTCAAAGCAGAAAACATTGTTGTTCTACATTTAGGAGATTCGAGAACCAAACGAGTTGAGGACAGTGCATGAGGGTCGAAAGACTGAGGCCGGTGCAGGTTCCAGTGATGAACAACTCAGGTTGCTCTGTTTGACCGGTTCTCACAGTGTGGCCAGGTTAGACTGCAGCTTTTCGGTCGAAGCACTGGGGCAGTTCTTTCATCCCGAAAAGTACTCCTTCCATGAAACCCTCATTCGACTTCATACCACTTCATGCGACCTTGGGTTTTGGGCAAACTGTGAAGCAGAGGTTGTGGCTTTTTGTTTAATCAATGTATTTTTATGTTTTTTTTCCTTCTTTTGGAGTTAGTTGTTGGTCCAACCTGCAGGTTCCACTGGCTTCTCCAAAGGGCAAAAAAATGATTTTGGGTGGATAGTTGCGCTGCCACGTGGCAAACATGAAATGGGTTAATCGTTGCCCTGTAAAATGAAACGCTCTGGTTGCCCGTTTGAACAACACCCGAAACCGCAAAAAGCAAGAACACCGTGATAGGGGGGCCACTTGGGGATACCTGGCCCACCCGCGATTTTGAGGTCACTTCCGATGAGCTTTTCACAGCTGGTCATGCACTCAGCTTTGACCGTCGAACATTCCGGGATTTGTCAGTTGTTGAAAATGTTTAGAATTCACATATGCAACAGCGCAAACAATGCCCAGCAGCTGCTCAGGCCTTTTGTGGACGAGTGTGCTGGGCACCGAGTGCCCGGGGAAAGAACCGATGGCCTGACCGTGCCTGGAGGGCGACAGCCTCAGCTTGATTCCTCTGAGTGACTGTTCACAGACAGTGATGGTGGCGGGTCAGTATCGTAAGAACGTCACTTCGTGGATTCAGACAATTCTGTTCAGGCAATTTCCAGGCCTGCTTGGTCAATGGTGGGAGCATTCCGGTCCAGTTGTGGTGTTTTGGAGCATTGCAGGTGCGTCCTGTACTCGCTGGTCTGGGTGCAGGCCAAGCAGACTCAATGAAAAGAAAAGAAAACATATAAAACAAAATCTAATAGCGATGGCCTCCAATATGCAATTAGATCGTGGATCGTGTAGGCGGAGGGTCCAGATTCGTAGATCGTGCACGGATTCTTGGAATCGGTTCGTTGGTGTGAACAGCAATCAGATCGTTTGAGATGAGCGGATGCTGAACATTTGGATGAAGTGGCGGTGTTCATTCATTCATTTATTTTATATTTCATTCATTCATGCCTTCAGGATTTGATGAAGATCCACTGAGTAAACCAAGCACTTTGGCTCAAAAGCATTCGAAACCTTCTCTCGCAGTCTTTGATCGCTGCTCTCGGTGCGTCGAAGACCCGTGATGTTGAGCTCCAAGCACATCGGCGCTGAAGAATCGCTTCATCAGCCCGGTTCGGTGATCCATTGGGTGTTGGTGAACGATGGAACTGTGCAATGGCCTCATGGTACCACCCTTCGTTTGGTGAGCGGTCCCGTGTTGGCAACGCCCATCATGGAAGTACCTTCAGCTGCACCGGGGCAGACCTTGGAAGTGGATTTGGAGCTGGATGTGAAGGCAGAAGGACATGCAGCTTACGCTTTGGTGACGCCTTGTGGTCAGCCTTTTGGGGAGATTCTCCAATTCCATGTGGAGAAGAAGGACGCACTTCTGAATGGGCAAAACTAATTCTGTTTTTGAAAGAGTAGCACCAGGCATCACTAGAGTCGCTAGAGGATAGCAGCCATAGATGGATTTTTCATCATCCAGCCTGGGTTTGTCATATCTTTTTCGTGGTGCGGTTTCATCTGCAGCCTGCAGCCTGGAAGGAAGTAGAGATTTCTTCGTGTGTCATTCTGAAAGCTCCCGAGAGCTGCATGGAAGGGCTTCAAGGAGAGGCGGGGATGGGTGGAAAAACCTCAAAACCCTGGACGATGGTCACTATTCCGTTCTTCTTGGTGATTTTCCAACAGGAAACCAGGGTCTTGACATGTTTTGGCAGGTGAAGACGTTGCAATGGACTTTGGCCAACATGAGCAATGTCAGTTGGCCAGCAGATGCGTGTTGCCAGCTCTTCTACAACACGCCAGGCTTTGCCAAGTTGCCAAGCGACATCGACATTCCTCAAGAAGTCCCTGGTGGCTTGACGGTTGAGATGGAAGTTCCAGTCCTTTTGCCCGAACAGTCCGGCCATTTCAAAGCGATGTGGGCTATTTTCAGTCCCAGTGTGCCCACCTTTGGAGAGATTCTGATCGCTGAGTTTGAGGTCAGTGATTTCCCCTTCATGGAGTGGATGCTGGTGGCGGATGAAGTCGAGAGCTTCGCAAGTTCTGAAACCCAATCCGAGACCCAGTCCAGTCCAACTCCATGCTCACCACGTCCCATCTCAGCAGAACACTTGATGCACCAGCACATTTTTGTTGGAAACCAAGAAGTGGTCTACCCAGAAGAGATGGAGCGGAATGGATTTGTATCCTTGGGAAAGATTTCTGGTGCAGGCTCATGGATTCTTCAGATGATTCTTCGCAATGATGGCACCATGGCATGGGAAGATTGTGCCTTGACCTGTTGCTTCGGCAGCGGCTTCGGTTGCAGCCGCCTTGGAAACGTGGAAGCTGAACCAGGAGAAGCTGTGCAGCTTTGTGTGGAGTTGACGGTTGAGACTCCTGGGACATCAGCCTGGGTGCTAAGCTTTGGTGGCATGTGTTTCGGACCTGTCTTCATTGCAGAGGTCGTCTGAGGCACAGCAGGATGCCAATGCAGGGTGGCCCCCACATATTGTCGTGTAAATATCGCATCATGTCAGAAACTCTGTATATGCACGGGTGTTTCCATTCGTTTCGACACGTTTTGGTGGTTAGGCAAACTGGGGCCCCCCTGAATGGGGTGAGCTGAAACACTTTCAACAGCAGTGTATACACCCCACAGCGATTGAAGCGTGAGACGTGAGCAAACAGGTGGCGAAGCGGCGAAGAGACTTGAAGATGATCTTCTCTTGAAGAAGTTTGAAGTGGACAGATGGGGCCAATACACCATCGAAAGGGGCGGTGGAGACCAACATTTTCAATTTCACGCGGCCGTGTCTTTTTGAAGCAGTGGCCCGTATTTCTCTAGATTTGCCGTGATCACTGTGACATCGGGTACCCTTCAAACTGCATTCTCTTGATGCAGGTTGAGATGAAATCCGTATGCGCGCACCCAGAGGCAGGGGGCAGAAGCCGCCTTTGGGGCTTTCCGTGCTTCTTGCCATGGCCTGCGCCCGGAAATCTGACTGTTTTGGGCGTTTGGTAGGGGTGTGTTCTCGGCCAGGTTGGATCATTGATACCTTTGACGAATACGCAGGGGAGCTCAACGCGCATGAGATAGGGACGTTCACCTGTCAGACCCTTTTTCAATCGGGAAGATTCCTGAAGCACCTAAAGGGCAAACACACTGTAAAGTTGGAACACTTTAGAGACTTGAAGTGTCTTTTTGCAAAGCGTGCAGAAACAGAAAGGGGAAGCCAAGACTTGTCCACTTGAAGCAGAGCGCTGTGAGCCAGGTGTTCCTCCTGGGCTCGAACTCGGGCAGCGCAGGCACCACGTGGCGTTCGAGGCGACTCGGACGCTTCGATGGGCTTTTGAGACGGATGATATTTGACGCCTGCGCCGATGCCATGATGCAACGATGTGTCCTCAAGTCTCCTGCTTTCAGAGTCGTTTGTGGCTCAAGTTTTCCCAGCAAAGCCAAGCTCATCGCCCTCTGGGTTTGCTACCACGATAGCATGCTTGTTTCAGATCGACCCGGATGATGAGGCGAACGAGACATCGAAGCAGCTCAGCTGCCTGCAGCGAAGGTCTTCCGATTTACATCCACTGCCATTCTAATGATCTAAAAATGTACTTTTCTGGTGAAGAAGATTGGATTCTCAGCTGGCCAACATGTTCTTTTTTAGACCTTTTTGCTCCTTGATTTCAGTCATCCCCAAAAGCTAACTAACTGCTAACCTTCAATTCCCATGTTTGTTCTCCTCAAGTGAGGATCTCCGATCCGGAGCATGAAGAAGGTTTGACGTCATTTGCTGGAGTCAGTTGTTTCCAGACAGTCTTCAGCCTTGTGTGGTACATCGGGTATATTGCTCAAGGTATAGACCAGGTGACCTTGAACCAGACGTGCCCAGATAGTGCTGGAATCAAAGGCTGTTCCGGAGGGATCACCAATGTGGTGCAGAACCTTGCATGGCTACTGGTGGCGGCTGCACAGGTCCCGCAGTACTGCGTTGAAGGCTTCATCTCTCCAAACTCAGTGAATTGCTTCACCAGCATGACTACTTTCACAGGGTCAGGAGTGGAGATTGCGTCAGATGCGCTCAACAGCGAAAATGATTGCGCGTACCTCCATCAGAGCCCCAGCTCATCCAGCTTGCTTGCGGCCAAAAGCCTGACAAATGCCACAGGTCACGGTTCCTCACATGCGCAAGAACGATCTACCTTGCCAGCGCCAGCACGGGCACGGGCGTTGAAGTGGTGGCTCAACAGTCAAGGCTCTGCAAATCCTCCACCGGGATACGGAAGCAACAGCAACAGCGGGGTGCCCGGCAACCGGGCCAACACACAGGCAGAGTGTGCCTTCCAAAGCATGGAAACCATGGATGATATCTTGACCGTTGCTTTGAACACATGGGCTCTTGTCAAAACTTGTGTGGGTCCTCTCAACAATGCAACGGACCAAGAATTGTGCGCATCAGATTTGTTGGCGCTAGTGGGAGCACTTCCTAATGTCGCGCAAGATATCTTCAATCTCTTGGACGAGTGCAACTTGTTCTACAAGATTAGGGCGCCATGCGCGGCTGATGCAGCTGACATTGCTCAGTGCGCTTTGGGCGTTTGAGCTTGGGCAGCATCTGTTGAACAGAATTGTGTCCCGTAAGAGATAGATACCACATGATAGACCCTAGCCACTAGAACTGCCAATGCTGCATTCGACATGTGGGTAGAAGATACTAGAAGGCCTTTTTCTGTGGCCTTCCTGCTTCAAGCGGACAGACCATTTTTAGCTGTATTATCCCGTATTCATAAGTTTAAGATATGATTCCAAGTACTATTATCACACTCGTGATATCCAGGCAATCTTTCAACCTCGAAGAGGTGCAGCGCCTCGAGGCAGACATGCAGACTCGGTGCAAAGAAAGAAAACACCGGCCGCAGAGACCTCGAAGGCCCGCACAGACCTCCCCATCGGGGACGACTTCGAAGCTTCGTGAATCGCTGGAATCCATGGTAGTCGACGGAGGTGGCAACTCGACCTCCGATTTCCTCCGACGCTCGGTCCGACGCTCGGTCCGACGCTCGAACAGTCAGCCCCCTGGAGGATGGTGAGTGAGACCAATGGAAGTGTGTGTCTTTTTGTTTAGTTGTTGTATAATTCCCCAAACCGTTTACTGTTGGGGTTCTATCTTAGCAAAAAAAGAGCTGGCCACACTCACTGGCCGCGCCCCTGAACTCTGTGGCTGGGCTCTGTGTCCAGGCCTTGTCCT